TGAGCTTTGTTTGTTAACTGTAGTCTAGCTGATATGCATATTGGCATATTTCAACCATTTGCGACTGTTCTATTGACAATTATGCTAGATCCTAAGCAGAAGTCTTTAAAAACTGTTATTTCTCTAAGAGAAAAATTTAAGGATTTCCAGATGTAGTAGGCCATTTCTGTAAAATCTGTAAAATCCTATAAATCCACTAGGTGGAGACCTCGACTTCAATCATTTTAGAACAAATGGGACTTCAAAATCAACACAATAGCTCCAGAACAAAAGGAATATTAACAAGCTTTATTGCCAATTGTTATTAACTTAAGATTTTGAAAACTAAATAACCCATTAGCGTGTAAGCTTTCAAGGCTTGAGCTCTTGAGTTTGGCATGCCACTACTGTTTGGTGTGAGTATTCTTCCTTATGCACAGGAGAGAAATGTCTTTATAAATATTAGATTTAAAAGCAATAGTAGAATAAGCATTTCTTAGTCAAAGCCACACTTATTTGAAAGATAGAGGTATACTCAATATTATTAGTGATATCCTAGTAAAATGTTGAAAGCATAACATCATGGTATAGAATACTATAATATTTCACATTTTCTAGTGGGAAAAAAGGTCACAAATGCAACTAACTTTCTCTTCCCCTGTCTCTATTTCGAAGTCTCTATATCTTTATAGCTACATGCGGCAATATTATAAAGCTTAAAAACTATTAGAACAATGTAAATATTGCTTACATGCCCCATTTCCTGTTTTCTTTCCTATTCAGAATTGGTAGCAAATGACAACTTTCTTATTTTGAAAACTTCCTAAACTTATTATCTCTCTTCTTTCCTTGGATTCAAAATGTTCTTGCTTTTAACTCTGACTCTTCTCACCTCCCTCCTCGAGCTCAACTCCTGTGCCATCTGTCTGCCTCCCCGGATCCCACTTCCTTTTGTCAAGCACCTCGAAGGTAAGAAGAGCATCTATGCCAACTTTTTCTTGCACATTAAGTTTACTGTATTCTAATTGCCAGCTCCCTCAGTTTTTTAGAGCAGGTTACTCTTTTTCTCTGTAACTATCTTTCTTTTCCCTTTTCCTATTTTCTTTTAAGCACCTTCATTTTACTGCAGAGCTGTTAGCTTTGTTTGTCACTGCCAACAATGTCCCTCATATCTAAGGGCTTAAAAGTACTCTGTTCACTAGCTTTCATTCAGAAGGCAGTGATGACAGTTCTCCTGGACTCTTTCCTCTCATCCACTTCCTAAATCCGGTCTTTTCCCTCCTTCTGTTATGTTTCCTTTGAAGTAGTTCTCACACTTACCCCTGTGCCCGAATCCCCATGGTAACCATTGTAGTCTTTGTGTTGTAACCAACTGGATTACTACTGCAATAGCAGCCCAGCTAGAGACTCTGACTTCAGTGTCTTTTGCTTCTGTGTCACCCCACTAGTTCTCTGTCTTTATTGGGCACAAATCACCTGGGGTGCATGTTAAAATGCAAAGTCCCAGGCTCAATCCCAGAGATTTTGATTCAGTAGATTTAGAATAGGATCCCAGAGTCTTCATTTGAACAAACATTCCAGGGTAATGTGGAGCATATAATACACAGCCTACGCTAAGAAACAATGTTTAGCTATTCCAGTGCACACTATGAGATAATTCAGTGCCTGCCTCACCACAGGAACTACATACAATTCTTTAAGTGAATAAATCCTTCATTCCAAACTCTGATGAACTTTCCAGAAAATTACTTTTATCATATCTTTCACTACTTTAGAGACAAAATATAATTGTCTAATTTCATGTCCAAATTCCCTAGTCTGGTTTCCAAAGCTTTCCAAAATCTGATTCCATCTAATTATCAGAACTTTTTCCCACTTCTCGCTGTTTTCCAGCAAGCACCCTCTATCTCTAATAGGCTAGTGTTTTCGTTGCCCTCTTCTATTTTTATGGGTCTTGACTAAGAAGACATACACAGGAGACAATAGTGTGTTTCAAATTTAAGGAATGAAGCAAAGACAGACATAGAACAAAGAATGAGAAGTGAAGTTGATAACCTAGCAAACAATGACCAGGCAGCATGATGTTAATGTTTAGATCTAAATATGAATTTGTTTCAAATGAGGGTCTGGTATAGCCCCTCAGTAGCTACAATGTTCCAATAACTAAGTCTCTCCCTTGTGTGTTTTCTCACGATGAATTTGTTTCAACAGAACCATGTTCTGTTTCCTTAAACTCTTTCTCTCTCACCAACCCCATTCATTCATCAAATTCCTATTTATGCTTATAATCTCAGCTCAAGTATCACCTCTTCCAGGAAGCCTTCCCTGACCTAGCTCTTTGTCCCCCACTTGCTAGTATTCCTTTAGCATTCATTCTCATCTAATCTTGGTTTCCTTCATCTTGGCTTGTAACTATAAAACCAGTAATGTGTTTATTCTATTAATCTCCATATAACCGCTAGACCTTAAGCGCCATTAAGAGCACATCTCCATTGAATCTCCCCACCCATCCCTGGGGCTGTATATAGTAGAGACTCAGTAAATAATTATTTCAGGAAAGAGGGAAAACTAGCCCATTGTTCCCTTTCTCTTCAGTACTTAGCTTACTGACTAGGTGAAGACCTTACTGGAAAGAGTGAAAACTAGCCCATTGTTCCCTTTCTCTTCAGTACTTAGCTTACTGACTAGGTGAAGACCTTACTGGACAATGCAGTGATGACTTAGGCATGTCACATACAGAAGCAGCTAGAATCTATAATGCTGAGATGGATACCACAGCCAAACCGGGAGCCACCTGACTGACAAGCACAAATATTGCCAGCCAGTCAGAGACTTAGCTTTCCTGTTATACTTTCTCTCCATCCTCCTCTGGGAGAACCTCATCCCCAGAGTCCTGTACTTCCCTGCTTAGCAACAAGACTTTTCTACTAAGCAGTCAATTTTTGACCTCTTAGTATTTTTATTTTTAATCTTTAATAGCATTCTCCTTTGATTCTATTCTGGTTTCTCTTCCTCATTTTCCAAACTGTTACTTCTGGTACCCATCCTACCTAAAAAATGCTTTTAGAAGTGCCAATGACTTGCTTTTATTCCAAATTAAAACTTCCATGTCCCTTATCTATAATCATGAAGAGTCAGTTAATAAAAACAAACGGGATTCCCTTTGACTGTTATGGTATATTTTAGAATAGTTCATATACCAAGGAGAGAAGGAAATTCTGGATTAGGTGCCTGACACAGTTATTCCTAGAAAATATGCCTGAGATTCATACTGAAAGACAAAGAAAGCTTTTCCCAAACTATTTTAAGTCATGTAATTTTCAAGACAATTTTCTAAACATTGAATTTCAGATGAGGGGATTGGAAGCATTGATAAGCAATAGTGATATTCATTCATTTACTCAACATATATTTTTGAGCATCTACTAGGTACAGTTCTAGGTAAGGAGGTTGCAGCAGCAAAGAAAACAAAATGAACAAACAAAAAAGTCCCTGCTTTTATGGAGCTAACATTCTGGTAGTGAGAGAAGATTCTACACAAATAAATATATAATCTGGTGAATTAAATGGTCAGAGGAAGAGGTTATTTCTTCCGAGATACTCAGTCCATGTTCCATAATTATCTTCCTTTTTCCTCATAAGAGTTTTTGTGTATACTTGTAGGATTGGGTAACGACTTGGTCTGGTTTTGCCTTTAGAAACAGAATGGGAAATTTGCTTTCTCTCCAAACACCTAGACTAGGGTTTATTCTATTTCTCCTTTGGTGAGATACCAACAGCCTACTTTATCTGCTCCCTTGTTGAAGAGAGGTAAATTGTCTGGGAAGGATCAGAATCAAGGTCATATAAGAAAAGGATAACAATAACTAGGATGGTTTGGACCAGATAATTAAGGGCTATTGGGCCTTTGTGTATGAGGATCTCCAGTGTGAAGAGTGTGAACTAATTCCCTCCACGTAGAGCAGAAGAATCAATGCGGGCTGACGCCAAAACACAAGGATTTCAATAGACATCAGACATACTGGCAGGGGGATTCTTAGACACTATATAAAACTGTGATATCAAGTGAGAAGTTGTGAAATCTTCTCCTTTGTCAATCTGTGAGAACAAAGTAGATACCAATCTGTCTGGTACGTTTCGGAAGAATCCTTTCCTACAGACAGACGATCTGGGATTTCATTCTGGGATTATATGACTGTTCCCCTCTACTCTCTCAGATCTATGATCGTATTAATTTTTTTTCACTGTTTACATATCCTACTTTACTTATTCCCTCCCTAATTTTTTTTTTTTTTTTTTTTTTTCATTCGAGGGCCTTTCACTGTTGTGGCCTCTCCCGTTGCGGAGCACAGGCTCCTGACGCACAGGCTCAGCGGCCATGGCTCACGGGCTCAGCCCCTCCGCGGCATGTGGGATCTTCCCGGACTGGGGCACGGACCCGCGTCCCCTGCATCGGCAGGTGGACTCTCAACCACTGCGCCACCAGGGAAGCCCCCTTCCCTAATATTGATCCCTCCATTTAAACTCTAAATCTATGCTCTTAGCTACTTTGTCATACAGCCACTCAGAGTTAGAGAAGGACTAGGACCAGGGCTAGCCTCCTGCTTGAGCCAGGGCTCAAAGAAGACCACTGGTCATGGGGTCTTTGCCTGCAGGCCTGCCTCATGGTGAAGAGCCCACACAAATCCATCTTGTGCCAGACTTCTTTCTTGAAAAATGTGACTAAGTGTGGTTCAGGCGTAGTTAATAAAATTGCAGCTGAGACGAGACTGAGTCATCTGTCATACCGGGGTCTCTTACTAATCAGTTGTGAGAAACATTTCAGAATCAGAGAGCAACAGCAAAGAAATATGAGATACTCAGACTTCTTGAGGCAATTAGAGACTAAAGAGCAGAAAGCAAATCAGTCTTCCTGCCTTGACAGTCTTAAAATACACACTGAAAGTAGACTTTGGAGCTACACTATTTGTGACAGATGTTGACCATAACACATTTTCTAAGAGGAAGTAAAAATTACTCACTTCAGGACATGCATTCCACCCTCGCATCAGCAGAGATGATATGGGCTTGGGAATGGAATAGCCAATGGGAGGTCTGATATGGTGGTAAGCCATGTCTGCTGCGGCAGCCGCTGCAAACCAAATGGTCACGTCAGTCTTAAAAATCACATATTTATTTCAAGAAACATATGAACAGACAACAAAAAAATAATTAAAAATCAATCTGTGCAACATCAGCAGAGATTCAAGGAGGCCTCTATGCTGTTTTTTTTTTTATATGCTTAAGCAAAATAGTGGATAATATGCTATCGTAAGTTTATCTTTATAATTGTTTGTTTCTTCGGTTGTTCATTCAACAAATGGTGAGCAGAGGGGATTTATATAGGAACAAAGAACAGACAAAGGAACAGACAAATAGCAAGCAGCACAGGGTATGTACATGATGTTTCAGGAAGTGAAGACTGAAAGGCAGATTGGACCAGCCTATACAATGCATAAATCTCAGGCTAAAGAGCTTATACTACACATAGCAAGACAAGGTGCCCCGGAACTTTGTACCCCTGAGAGCACCTGTATCACTTGGGCAAAATAGATTATTTTTTAAGTTTAACTCTGGTTACTAGTTACAAGATTGTTGGAATTTTAATATTTATAAAGTAGTTACTATTTGCTAAACTCTTGTTAGATACTCCAAATCCATCATTTTAGCTAATAGTGCTCATTGATTGAACACTCTAGTGTGGCCTACCTGCTTGGATGTCTGAATGTTGCTCATCTGAAACTCCACATCACTGTGTTGTGATTCTCAGGACTTCTTTGTGGATTCCTGATTGCTGATTATTTTTCTGTTCTGCCACCTGTGATTTCTGTACTCCCTGGGAAACCAAGCTTATAGCTACTTTCATTGAACACATTTTGTATCAAGTATCATGGTAGATACACACATAAGTTCTTTCGATCCTTTTAAACCATGCGTGCAAGGTAAGTGCTATTGTTATGTGTGGGTTGTGTGTGTGTGTATGGTGTATGTAAGTAGTTTTTAATTTATAAAAATTTTAATATAACCAGTAGTTGGCACAACTTCTTTTTTCAGATTTCATGCTCTCTTCAGCCATTTCACATTGAAAGTACTTTGTAAACAACACATGAAGCTCTTTTATTCCTCTGAAAAATTGCTCTGCACCCGTGGGATGCTAAAGTTCCAGGATACTGCTGCCTGTGTTCTCGATTGTGATGTCACAATCATCTGTCTATATCTTAATGACTTTTGAGATGTGACCCACAACTACTATCTCTCTTCCACCAAAGTTTACTCCAGCTAAATTCTGTTTATAGATCTGCATCCAGCAGATGTAGTGAAATTATATACAATGCAACTTAACACTTTGCTTTATGGATCATTCAGAATTACTATATAATTTTGCCAAATGTAAAATTAATACTTGTTTTTCATAGAAATTCAGAAAATTAGGAGAATTAGAAAGAAGAAAATCCTATTATTCAGAGGAAGCAATTGTTAAAATATTTTGAGCATATCTTATATATTCTTCATATCATTGAGCTCATGTCCAATATACAATTATGTAATACTTTTACCCCTAAATTAAATATAAGCATTTTCTCATGTTATTAAAATTCTATGTTGGGCTTCCCTGGTGGCGCAGTGGTTGAGAGTCCGCCTGCCGATACAGGGGACACGGGTTCGTGCCCCGGTCCGGGAAGATCCCACATGCCGCGGAGTGGCTGGGCCCGTGAGTCATGGCCGCTGAGCCTGCACGTCCGGAGCCTGTGCTCCGCAACGGGAGAGGCCACAACAGTGAGAGGCCCGCGTACAGCAAAAAAAA